GCCGCCCACCTCTGCACCAGCTTCGTAACTTGGGGCCCATTTACTGGGCGTGCGCGCCCGCGCTCGCGATCGTTTTCGTTACTGCGAGTTACCTGCGCAGGAACACCCCCGTGTCGACCTGAGCGGGCTCCCTAGCCGGCCAGGCTCGTTCCGGCCACCTCCACGAATTCTCCAATTCGCTACTGCAAATTACTAAGCGATTCCCAATGCGTATTTTCCCCTTTTTCCGCAGAAAAAAAACCTTTCATTCATTGAATTTCCGCTAATTTTCTAGTAATTTTTATTTTTGAAAATGCCGCCCTCGGGCGATTGGAGTAAAATGAGTACCACTGCATTCTATGTGAAAAATAGATGAATTTAGCGCCCAGGAACTTGAATTTAACATAAGTTTTGAGTATTTCACGGGCATCCAAAGATAGGTGGGTCAGGTATGTTTTAGGTGTCATGGTTGCACATTTAAGGATGTCGTTTAACATTAGTAAATTTGCAGAAGCTTCCAGACAACTTTCAAACAGTCCACCCGCTTGCGCAATTGGACCCTTTTGGGTGCAGTAGGGTCATGTCCATGACATAGGGTGGGGGAATATTGTCGTTTTAATAGAGTGCACTGATTGTGATTCAATGAAGCTTGGAGTATCTTCTCAATGATGGGGAAAGAAATGTGGAAGAATTTGCAACACAACGGTGATGTAGTCTGGGCATAACTGCAATTACTCTTCATTTCGTTTACACGGCTTTTTGGTTCCTTTTGGCTCCTTGAATCTGCCTTTCTCATGACACCTCAGAAACCGCTGAGAATCAATGCTGATTCCGGACAATTCAGAACATGTGCATGTGTGCATTTGAGACCACTGCTTATGGATAAGACTGGAATGGCTTCCAATGAACTGTGACTTCGTTTTCTTTTTTAATTGAGTTGCTGTAGTCTAGTTCGCGGAAATTTTGGTTTGTGTCCATTTGATTTAGTGAAGATCCACATTTGGTGTTCAGCCGTCGCAGTCCACAGTGTTGCATCCTCAGCACTTGCAACAACAAGATCGTGTGTCAGCAAAGCTATTGAAACAAAGTGAAATTCACACATAGAGTGAGCTGTGATGTCCAGTCGAAGTTTTCTCACTTACTTTCTGGGATTGGTTGTTGCAAAGCTCATGAAAATTGCTTTCCTTGTGCAGACTATAAATCAAAACATGACCTGCAAGTATGTGTCAATTATATATGAATTGTGCGTGTTAAATGTACTTGATATAAAGGTTGAAAATAATAATTTTCTGGCATTGAAAGGACTGCGTCAGCAAAAATGAACGTTCGCAACAAGCTACCGTTCAGCAGATCGTTGAAATTGAAAAATGACATGTTCATGAATTGGGCAATCTCACCCTTGCCGTACAATGTTTGTTGATGTGCATACATCAGTTTTGAAGTCCGGGTCGTTATTCAACCGAACGTCGCAAGCGCACTCATAGATTTGCTTGCATGTAACCGGAGGTGGAAGTGTTGCTTTCAATTTTGAGCTAGGTGCCGCTGCTTTGGGCATGGGCATGGGCGCATTGGGCCACGCCTGCAAACGTTACGAGTTCCGAGGCCTTAGAATGTCTGGCTCTCAGAATCTCTGATTTTATCCGACAACTCGGTTGCGCACGGTTTTCAGCTCTCAACACTGAGACATAAACTGTGGGGGCGCTTTGCGAGCATGAATGCTTGGATGTGACAATCGCTCACTTTATAAGAGTGTGTATAACCGAAGCCTACTGTTTGGCAACGCTCTCACGGCCTTCAACACAGTGCACGCATGCCGTTCCAGTTGCTTTCGGAATGGTTGAACTCTTGAAGAGACTGGAGACAGAGGCTTCTGCACGAAGACTGTGAACTATCCAACTATGGTGTGTTTGCTGAGTTAAAAGACACGGTTAGCTGTCATGGTATTGTGCCTTGGACCATACAGTGTACATGCGACACCCTCTTGAAGAGGTTACAAATTGGAGACGGAGATTTACAAGAAGGCAGATTTTTCCAACTATGGTGTTTTCGTTCAGAAGACGAGGTCGGCCATCTTGAGAACGTGCTTCGGGACCGTGCGGTCTACATGCGACCGGCAACGCACACCGTTGCAGTGTCTTAAGAACTGTTGACTCTCAGAGCGTTGGGACTTGGGACTTGGTGATTTGGATAGAGTCCAATGGCGGCAGAGGTGAAAACCAAGGCTGGAAACCTTGCAAACGAATTTATGGACTCCGCATGCTGCACTGTGCAGTGCTGTTTGCAAGCTTGTGTGTTTCCAGACAATGGTTACGCCCTACCGGATTCATCTTACGCGTACTCGAGGAGCCTCTCTTTTACTCTCTATCCCAGACTCTCCACTGGTTCGCAGGTCTCCCAGACTGTCGCTGACTCTCGAAGAGACTCTCGAAAAAAACTGTGGAGATTCTCCAAGAGACTCTGCAGAGGATCTCCAAAGCCTTTGCAAGAGACTCTACAAGAGACTCTGCAAGAGGGTCTACGAGAGACTCTCCAAGAGACTCCACCAGACTCTCCAAGAGACTCTTCACTCCCTTCAAGAGACTCCAGGAGATTCTGGGAGCGGCTCTCCAAAAGGCTTTGCAAGAGACTCTCCAGGAATCTCAGCAAGAGACGCTGCAAGGGACTGAGCAAGACATTCTCCAGAAGACTCTCCAAGAGACTCTGCAAGAGATTCTGGAAGTGGCTCTCCAAGAGACTCTCCAAGAGACTAAGGAAGAGACGCTGCAAAAGACTCTGCAAAAGACTCTCGAAGAGACTCTCGAGGAAACGGAGCAAGACACTGTAAGACACTGAGCAAGACATTCTCCAAGGAACTGAGCTAGACACTCTCTAGACTTAGCACTCTCCAAGAGACTGAGGACCTACAAGAGACTATGCAAGGGGCTTTCCAAGAGACTCTCCAAGAGACTGAGCAAGGCACTCTCCAAGAGACTCTGCAAGAAAATATCCGAGAGAACATGCAAGAGACTCTCTGAGAGACCCCGCGCAAGAGACTCTCCGAGACCCGGCAAGAGACTCTCCGAGAGACCCTGCAAGACTCTCCGAGAGACCCTGCAAGAGTCTCCAAGACAATATGCAACAGACTCTCCGAGAGACCCTGCAAGTGATTCTTCGAGAGACCCGGCAAGACTGTATGAGACTGTGCAAGAGACTCTCCGAGAAACTTTGAAGAGACCCTCCAAGAGATTCTGCAAGAGAGTGTCCGAGAGAAGATGCAAGAGACTCTGCAGGAGACTCTTCGAGAGACCCGGCAAGAGACTCTGAGAGACGCTGCAAGTGATTCTCCGAGAGACCCGGCAAGACTGTATGAGATTGTGCAAGAGACTCTCCGAGAAACTCTGCAAGAGAGTCTCAGAGAGAACATGCAACAGACTCTTTGAGATACCCCGCAAGACACTATCAAAGAGACCCTGCAAGACTCTCCAAGAGATTGAACAAGACACTCTCTGAGAGACTCTGCAAGACTCTCCAAGAGACCCTGCGAGACTGTATGAGACTGTGCAAGAGACTCTCCCAGAGACTCTGCCAGAGACCTTTCGAGAGACTGTGCAAGAGACTCTCCCAGAGACTCTGCCAGAGACCTTCCAAGAGACTTTGCAAGAGACTCTCCGAGAGACTCTACAAGAGAATCTCTGAGAGACGCTGCAAGAGACTCTCCGAGAGACCCCTCGAGAGACCCCGCGAGACTCTCCGAGATTCGGCAAGAGACTCTCCGAGAGACCCTGCAAAACTGTATGAGCGTATGCAAGACACTTTCCAAGAATCTCTTCAGTCTTTGAAGAGCTTGAATATCTGTGACTCTGTAAGGCAAAGTCTTTGCAAGCGTGTGAGGGATGTTTCTCAGCAATGGTTATAGTCTAAGAGCATTGTTGACAGCACGGTAAGACTCCAAAATTTTGTATGAGACAGTAGACGACCGCTCAAAGGCTCGGAAAGACTCTGGGAGGTAACACTCTTTTACGGTTTCTAGAGTTGCAGAGCATCGCAATCGGACTTCTGACTCTACCAACGATGTTCGCGTTGCTGAGCACGGTGGTAAGATGCTTGCACCCAGGCAGTTGACTTTGGCAACGATGTCTGCTCTTCCACAAGCACGGTGGTAAGTTGGTTGCAACCGGGCATTTGACTCTGGAGAACGGGGTACGCTTTGCCAGAGCGCGGTTTAAGATGTGTGCAACCGATGCTTGTAAGAGAACACTCTCGGAGGATCTCCTGGACATGTAGAGCATTGGAACCAGGCTATTGACATTAGGAACGGTGTTTGCGTTGCCACGGGCACGGATTGAAGATGTGTGCAAGCGGTGATTGTAAGAGGCCTGTGGCAACCGCTGCCATGGGAGCTAACACATCCACGGTGTTCGCGTTGCCATGAGCACGTTGCTAACACGGTTGCAATCGGGCATTCGACTCTGGGAACGGTGTTTGCGTTACCACGAGCATGGCTGAAGATGTTTGCAGCCGGTGATGGTAAGAGGCCTATGGCAACCGTAGTCATGGGAGCTACCACATCCAAGGAAGGCAGCAGGCGCGCAAATTACCCAATGTGACACGGGGAGGTAGCGACGAGACAGACCAATTCCAGCATGTCAGTGTTGGCCAGTCGTCACGCCAGACTTCGACTGAGGAGAAACATGCGATGTTGAATGAGTGAATTGTGAATATTGAATGAGCGTTTTGTTGAAAAAGTCAGGTGAAAGAGTCGTTTGACAATCGGTTGCACACATGTGCAAGTGGGGACAAACTTGAGAATGTGAGCGCAAGCAGCTGCAGCAAGTAGAAAGACAAGGAGCCAAACACAAAGGGATAACACCAAGGGAAGCCGCACATCGCAGGTGAAGAAAGCAAACGAGTTCTTTGCCAAAAAGCAATGAGGCAAAAGAAAGCGCGAATCGTCCAAAACATAGCATCCTCCGGATGCATCGCCGCACATGTTGCGAAGGCAATGGCACTGCTATCGGAATGCACTGGGGGAAAAGAAAACATTAGTCCTCATTGTGCTTCTTGTCTTCCGTGTGCTTTTTCTCCTTCTTCGCTTTCTTTGCTTTCTTCTCCGTTGCATGTTCTCCTCCTTTGCTCTTTCGCTTCTTTTGCTTCTTGTCCTTCTTCTTCTTTTTGTCCTCCTTGTCCTCAAGTGTGTACTCCCCGTCTTCAAGTGTTCGCTCCTCGTTTATGATGCTGCACTTCTCCTCAGCTGCTACCTCCTCCTTGATAAGGCCACGCAATGAAAGGTACAGCCGCGTGGCCTCCTTCCTGTCCGTTGGGATTGGGCCTACAAAACACACAAAGTGTGAGTGACAACCAAAGTTCAGCAAGCACCAAGTTGCGGCAAGCCAAGATGGGAAAAGAGAAAAGGGAACCAGATGGAAGATAAACCAAAGCCAACAAAAGGCTTACCTTCCGGCTTCAACTTCCTGAGGTCTTCAAGAAGGCCAATGTCAGCTTTATCGCCACTGTCGCGTGCTTCCTTTAGCTCATTGACAAGCTTTCTCGCAGCAACCATCGTTGCCGGTCTGGGTCCCTCATAACCCAGCTGTTTGAGAAAATTCAGGATGCTTTCAGAAGGCGGTGTGGTCTGCTTCAATAGGCTAATTAGCCTAGAAGCGTCCCGTACTGACAGGTGCCCTTCAAGGACAGCTTCATCTGCACCCAGCTGCCTCAGAAACCGCTTCTGGTTTTCCGTCGCAAACTCCGATTCTGGCTTACTTCTGCGGAGTTCCTTCAAGGTTGGAATGACAATCTTCGCTGCATTGAAGTCAATCCTTTGGCACTTGTCCTTCTGGACACCAAGGGCTTCCATGAAGCTCAACTGTGCAGAAGAGAAGACACACGTTACTTGTGCAACAAGCAGTCTGAGGAAAAAAAAAACAAAGCAAGGCAATGCACAAACTCACCTGCTTTTCTGTAGGTGGGTTGCTCAGCGGTTCCAACCCTCCTTTGAAGCCTTCTAATATTGTTTCAACAGCCTCTTCTACTTTTCTCTTGTAAGCATCCATGTTGACCGCGGTTTGGGACTTCACAAGTCAGTGGATGGCCACCGCCTTTATATGCAAAGTGGCAAGGTGTGGGCAATGTTCCGTGTGGTATAATTCTCAAGCGTGTGAAGGTGTAGGTCTCAAGCGTGTGAAAGGTGTGTGGGTGAGAGTGTAATAATGTTGTTCAGAGTGCAATGCGGCATGCCACACACTTGCACCACTCCAATGAGGGCAACCGCTACTTCTTGCAGCACGCCAAAGCAAATTCCATGCTGTGGGGTGGCACGAGCTGTGGCGCCATGTGTGAATGTCGCAGAGGCAATGGTGAGATAATGGCGTGATTTCAAGATCAATTATGGTATACTGAATGCAATGGTGCGATGCTACTGTCCGTTCAGTGTGATTTTAGAGTGAGTTGAATAGTGTGAAGGCCACAGCAACTACAATTGCTATACAAAAGGCGCGGCGTCTTATTGTTGCTAATGTTTAACAAAGCCGTCAAAGCTGTCAGGTGCTGTGGGGTGGCACGGTGCTGTGGTGCCATACGCACCTATTGCAAGTGTAACGGTGAGACAATTGTGTGATTTCAAACTGAATTTGGTGTTGTCAAAACAATAGTGCGATGCTGCTGTTGTTTCAATATGAATTCAGAGTGAAATGACTGGTGTGATGGTGACACAATGTGTGGCGGCTACAGCAACACCAATTCGAATACAAAAGGCATGGCGTCTTCTTTGTTGCCAGTGCTGAGCAAAGCCGTTGCTCAGTTGGTGCTGTTGTGAATACTGCCAAGCGTGCCCAAGAGTCCAGAAGTGGCGCCGTCAAGGCACACGAAGGACGGTGAACGTGGCTAAGGTACAGTTCTCAACGCGTTCATGCATTTGCCATTGGAGTCGCTACCGTGGAGCACCGAAGCACATCGTTTTGCAACTACTTGCAGAAATGTCTCCGACGCTCATGCAAATGTCAATTCAATTGGTACCATTGACTTCATCCAAGCACTGATTATATTCTTCTCCTTGGAGTTCAAGCGAGTTGTGCAACGTCACCACGTGCCATTGATGTATCGTGAAGTGCAGTGGTGTATGAAATGCATAAGCATCTACAGCATTGATTGTGATGGCTATCAAACTTTCTTTGAACTCGTTTCCCGGTGGCGAACTGGGTGCCTCAACATCAACAATCATAATTCTGCTATCTCAATTGCGGCTGCAAGGCAACCACAACGCTGTGAATCCGTTTAAGATTGACAAGAGAAAATGTCAATGATGCTGCCATTGAAGTGGTTATAATTGTGAATGAAATGCATGCAGTTGCAAGCATCTTAAGGATTTGATAGTAGTGGGCGGGAAAGTTTATTTCCAAATCGATTCGCGGAAGCGTTCTGGCTGCATCGGTCTCAACGACCAGTATTCTGTTGTTTGTATTTGCCTCAGTGCATTAGACAAGTGACAACGTTGTTTGCCGTTTTCCAGATTTCTGGACTTAGTGCACGCTCAGCATCGCTCTTATTACATGGTGAGCTTATTTTTGGTACATAAACTATTCAGGCGCGGCGGATTGAACAAGTTGCGTATGTTGTCTGTGTGCATGCCACACAAACTACATCAGATAATAATAATAATAATAATAATAATAATGACTCACAGACAATGTGTGCATGATCGCTGGATTCTGTAGCCGTTCAGTCAATTGTAAATAATAGAGTTGCATGCAGCATATTTCATTTGAAGTTTCTTTAAAAGTTGTCATGAAAGCCGCACGTTCCAAGCCTCATAGCTGAATGCGCGACAAAGTGATGAAGCTTCAATACTTGTACTGGAAATTGCAGTTCAGAGCCATAATGAATCTAGAATCGAGGCCTTTTATGACGGGAATAATAGATAATAGGGCTGTGTGCAGCATATTTTACTTGAAGTTGCTTTAAAAGTTGTCACAAGAGCAGCATGTTCCAGACCTCATAAAGCTTGAACACTTGCACTGCAAATTGCAATTCAGAGCCGTAATGAATTTAGAATCAAGGCCTTTTAAAAGGTAATTTATCGCGTTGGCATTTCATGCAAGCTGTGTACTTTTGTTGACAACAAAATTAGCGTGTTCAATTATTTGTGACATTTATTTGTTGCTAAATGCACCAGTGTTGCTGTGCCATTTGGTTTGAGTACATGCTTTTGTAACATGAAAACATATTTCAAACTTCATCATATTGTTGGCCTGCTGACCAGAACCGATATCATACTGACGATCGGTGCCAGCAAGCCAGACAAAACAACTGCATTTTATGCAAGTTGCGATAATGCACAACGAAACGAACGTGCCCATTTGTTCACCATATGTATTCATTTCAAGCCACCTTTTAAGTGCCTGTGCATAAGTAATGTTCTGTTGCATTGTATCAATGCGCTCCAACGACCATGGGCGGATCCAAACGATCTCAGCATGCTCATAGACAAGACGCGAGCCACGGCTGTAATCCGTAGTAGCCAATCCCCAAACCATACATTAATGCGTGATTGGCAACATCGGTTTCTGCTCTGGAAACTCAAAACATTGGACGTAAACAGAGAATAATTGCATTGTGTTGGTTTATGCTTGCTTGAGAATGTGCACTAGATATGTGGCAGAGCATTGCGCACAGCAGTACGCAAATGGGCGTTGGTTGCAGTGTGCACATTTGGGAGTAATGGACCTAGGGAAGCTTTCAACCAAATAGCAATTAGAGCTGGCTGTGCGACTACACCTACCAAACTAGCGTGCCCCATCAAAGAGCTAAAAGCATAATACCATAGCAGAACGTTGTATCGTTGCATCGCAACTTGGTCTGAGGTGACTGGCGAATTGGGCTGCCAACACGCTGCCTTACACATATACTCATGGTATTCTACAACTGTGAACTTCCACGCTCTGCAGCATGAACGAACGGCAATTCAGAATGTGTGGTCCGTTCGTGGGCATGGCGAATTGAATGGGCAGTATAGAGCGGCTCTTTGCATTCCGTGATTTTGGTTTTGGCATTATAGAGCTTGCAGCTATGCGCCCTTTGGAACTCATTTTAGGCAAACGAATGCATCAAAGTAGAGATATTGCATTATTGCATTGTACAGGGCAAGCAATCCCAACTCGCATCTTATTTGGTATCTACACCAAACTGGGTATTGATGACATGCTATTCATTGGCAAACGATTTCCTCTCAAATCCGCTGCCACGGTTGTAGCTTCGACGCACAGCTTTTCTTCCGCAATTCCTTCAGCATTGTTTTATGCTATCAAGGCACTGCACATCACAACTGACATGCTGACTACCAATCAACTATTATTGCATAATGCCCTGTCGGCTGCCTGTGGGTAATGCAAGTGTTTCCGCCATTGTTGCAAGGGTTTCTCACGCTTCAATTTATTTGCTGCCACGTTCCTGAGTGCCTCACCCACAATAATCACAATTGTGTTGTTGTGTTTGCCTCAGTGCACCCAAGAGAAACCTGCGTTGCTGTGATTCTTTGGGGATTTGTGGACCTTGCACTGTGCTGAACATCGCTGCTAACGTGCGGTGAGTTTATTTTGTTCACATACATTTTTGAAGCGCAGCGCATTCAACGAGTTGCTGGTTATGTGCATATCAGAGAGGCTGCAAGTTGCAGTAATGGTCATGAGCAATGCGGAAAATCTTTGCACAATCACTGAGTTACAACCGTTGAAATGTTGCAATGCACACAACAAAACAAACGTGTCAACCATTCGCGACATCTATCGATTGATTAATGCACAAACGTGAGCATGTCACCATAGGTTGTAGCCCAACTCCAAGCTCAATACGGTCAGCTCAATCCATCTATTGGGCCCCAGTCTATAGGCAACATCCATTTGCATTCTAGCAGTGTGGTCCATCGACCACGGCCACATCCAAATGGCCTCAGCATGCTCGTATTTAAGTTGCAAGCAACAGGTGTTATGAACGGCCACCAATTGCCAAATAAAGCATTAATGCATCATTGGCAATAACTACTTTTGTTGTGGAAATTTGAACCAAACAAAGACACATGGCATTTGCTTGGCACAGAAGAAAATAATTACATGGTGTTCGTTCTGCCTGCTTCACAAACATAGCCTAGATACGTGGCAAACATTGAGTACCCCAAGGCAGAAATGGCTGCCGCTGATAGTGCACGCGTCTTGGGCTCAAGCATTTGGTGAAAGTATCAAACAACATGCATTTGTGCAGGATGTGAAGGTAGGCTTATTGAAGCTGCACGCTGCATCAAAGCGCTCTGAACGTAGTATCATAACACAACATTGCATCTTTGCATCACAGCTTGGTCATAAATTATGGGCAAACCAGGCTGCCAAAACGCTGCCTTGCACAGAAATTCATCGCGGGTCGCAACTTCACAGTTCCACGCATTGCACAATGAACGTGCGGCAATTCAAACTGTGTTTTCCGTTGGTGAGCAACACATAGTGGCTGCCTAATAGCCGGTGAATTTGGTTTTGGCGCCACAGAGTTTGCAGATATGCGCCCTTTGGAACTCAT